TGAGCTAGAACCGGGCCGCTAACCGCGCGCGTTTCCCTACGCAGCGCGTGTTGGTTGTTACAATACTGTACTTACTATTACATATTTTTGTACACATATTTAACGTTTTTAGTTTATTTTAATCCTAACAGTTCATACCAATTATGTACTGTATTACTTATCTGCACAACTTCACAAACATTTCTATTCATTTCCAGACCTAATAGTCTATTAATATTATTGTTTACACTAATGATGCGTAAAAAAGTACGGGACACACAGTGTTGGTATTCTATACGGGAAATAAAACATTCTTCTAAGAAATTGAACTTTGTCAAAATGAGATAAGGATACACATGTCAATGTATTAGTGATATTTATGATAAACATACCACATATAAATTTGTTTGAGAAAGTATTCTAATGTAAATTTTTTGACAAAAAATCAAAGTGGGTCGTGGAATCGAAAAAGAAGAAAATATGGTTCCAATACGTAATAAATTACTTCCTCTAACACGTGAGTAAGAATCTACACTTTGTGTCCTGGATACCAGTCGCAGCTCGTGCTTAAGTTGCACAAACTCCAGATAATCGAAAAAAAAAATCTAATATCTTAGAATTACACATTTTCCTTTTGGTGACATCCAATATCCAAGATATTGCAGCAATATCGATGTATTTGAAATCATTTTAAAGCCAAAGAGCGTCCAACTAGCGCGCAGGTTTGTGTGTCAGTTTGTGCTCTGTGGCGTCTGGTGACTTTCAGGTTTTGCACCACGTTTTTCGCTCCTATTACTGGGTTTACTGCATTTACTCTTTTGCCCTTCGCGCTAACACTGGGAAACATACGGTCTTCGGTGATGCAAGTAAATGAGTGTGGGGACTTCTCTCCGAGCGCTGTGGAGCTTTACGAGGTAACCGAGCCAGTCCGAGGGGAATACCAATATTCTGCCTTCGTCTCACTCTACCAGCAACTTAATCTTATAAATTTCGCGTTTTATTGAAAGTAAACAAGTTCAGTCAATCATAGGCAGCATTGTTTAATATATTTGGAGAATTTGTTTTCATTTGATATTAGGTTTGCTGATTCAAAACGTACATTTGACGAGTTCTTTACGTAAAGTTGGCTGTTCTGGAAGATAGTCCCTTCCTGTCTCTCACAGTGTGTGCTCACACGACGCCTAGCGAGTTTGAAACGGATATTTTTACTTTACATGAAATCTTAACATTTTCAACATGTTCTCCACATGTTTTGATTGCTAATGTTCAAAATATTGTTTGATTTATCCTTCATTTGCAATATAGAATTTTCTCCTTAATTATATTCTTCAAATTCAGATCTTGAAATCAGGTCATGTACAACTTTTCGAAAATATTAGCGGTTTTCGCTTAATTCTGCGAGAAATGGCATAACAATTATTTCCTGAAAAACGGCTCCAAATGTTTTATTTAAGTTTTTTCAAGGATAGGAATAACAGATGCTTAAAATATGGCTTTGGTCTCATTTTTTGTGAACAATGTATTATCGAAAATTGCAAACCTGCTAAACACCTACAGATGTATAATATTTATGGTGGAGATTTTCCCACAATGGAATCTGTTCTAAAAAATAAATCTTTAAAAAAGGCCATGTCCAAGTTTTTAAAAAATTACTAATTTCCACGCAATTTCTGTTTGGATTAATGCAATTTATAAAATTTAAAAAAAAGTCTCAAACTGGGCTCCAAATTTTCCATGGGAGGTGGGATGCAATTATTTTTTTATTTGGAATCAGAATCATCTCTGAAAATATTTTACATTGAATAGGAGGAACTTGATACAATCTTACTCAGCTACACCCTTTGTGAATAAATGGAACAGAGAGAGTGAAACAAAGTGTACTGAATGAACCTTGTATTGAACCATTCTTTACCAAGTGGCAATCCAAGCTGTAACAAAGTTAAAAAACTACACAAAACATTTTCCACAGGAATCAAAGACTGAAGACAAAAAATGGAGGAACTTGGCAATATATGGGTGGACATGGTGTGTTTTTTGATCCAGTTGAAATTATTATACAAGAAAATGAATATTCAAATAAATGTAGGGTCAGAAATTCTGTTATAAAATGCATCACATACCTATGAAAACTGCTGATGGGTTGAGAGCTATCAGGTAAATATTCTGTGAGGGGAGCAAAATATCCGCCATACTCAGGCATAGGCAGTGGATGTGGCTGAGGAATGTCAAATTTCTCAGTCGGAGCAGTGCGCAAACAAAATCCATCCTCAGTTGGAGGGATCTGCAAATTTAATGAAACATTTCTATAAATGTAATAGAATGAAATGATGGGAATAAAATAATGGAAGAATTCTTATAAAATAGGTATTCTCAATTTAGGGATGTTCTTAGATTGAAAATATGAAGTCTATCATATCGGTAGGCCAAGAAAAGTAGACTTGGTTCACTAAAGCATTTATATTTTAAATTCTGATGGAAGATGTTATGACAGTACTTGAATCCAATTATCACAATGCATCTTCTGAACATCACTCTGCAGAATTTTTTTTCAAAGCAAAGTTCCTGATCACTGAGTGGTTAATACCACTAATTGCTAATTGTTAAGGTTTATACTATAGGCAGTTTAATGATTCTTTTTAACAACATTCACATTATGATTATGTTACGACTAATAAAAGCAAAATTTGGCTTAATAATGACTTGAAAATAATTTTTAAAATGTAGAAATATAATGTTTTTGCCATTGAATTTTATTTATTTTTTATTCTCAATATTTTCAAGACTGCTTTTAATTATTTCATTATTTATTAGTATTATGATGTGTTTAATTACAGAAAACATAGCAACTACATACATAACAAATACTCTTCATACAGGAAAAGTGAAACTGTAGATACTACTTTACAAATGAGTATGTACATCTAAAACAGTTGGGAACTACTGGTATAAATGATGGCCTCCATTTATAAACAAATATTATTTACCTCTGGCTCTGTTGTTGGAGTGGACATATCATCTGAAAGCATTGGGGGGCCACTGGCGGTTCTAGCCTTCTCTGTTCTGGGAGGAGTAAAACCAGCTAAAGCTCGTAAGGCCGAATCAGATTTTGAAGTTCTATAAAAAAAAGAACAATCATAAATATGAGAGATGAATAACCACATGACAAAATTTGCTTTTAATAAATTACAAATATTAAATTTAAAATTAAAAAAAAAGGCACTTTTTCAAATTTGTGATCTTTAACTAACTTAAATGACAACAACTCACAGTCATTGCTAATGATAAAAATTTATCTGTACGTAACTGAAGGTATTAAGTCAGTAAATGTCATTATATACTACGTAGCATAAGGTGGATTGGATATATGAGTCATATGCCTACTTCATAATAGTTTATATAAACAGACAAGAGCGCCTATCAGCGCCATTGTCAGTTCCACCCGTTTTGCGATAAATAAAAGCAGCTATTTTTTTTATATAAAACAGTCTAAGCCAAAAGTTCGTAAGCTTAGTTCACTTGAACAAAAGGAAGAAGCCTTGATTGCATCAGTAACATATCTAACAGCTTGAGTTGTTCATCTGAAGTGATTTTGATAAATTGTTCAATGTTAATTTTCTTAGTTTTTTTGGGGGCATTTTTAAAGCATTTTAAGAGTGTTTCATTGATCAAAAATGATTAATGTCTTAGGTTATCAAAATCCGCTCCCTAGATAATAGGTTACTTTGTGCATATTCGGGACAATACTTAATGGCTGATATGCTCAGGACTTGGTTTCTGGCGGAACACGACGGAACGGCGTTCCAGTACCTCAGGAATACTTATTAAATTGTATTATAAATATATAACTATTTCAACTACATTAATAATTAATTTGGGGCGCGTTCAGGAACCTAAAATTTTATAAATCAAGCGTTGGATATACATATGACACAATGTATACGTACATCCACCTTAACGGACATTTCTAATTTATATCTTTGTGCCAATACATTCGGAAGGACGTCCCATAAAAAGTATGTACTTAAACCAAAAATGTCTCGAAATTAAATATTTCTCTCTTACAAATCATTCAGAATACTATGCATCTTCCTTCTGAAAACGCATCTCGCTATACTTACTTTTCATCTGCTTTGCACGTGTTATGCAAAAATGTTTCGTTATTCCATGAACTGGCAGGATTAGTATAAGGAACTGCGATACCCATTTGTGTACCAATACTTCATCAAATAAACTAGTGTCATTTATACAATTATTCTATAAATATAATAAGTTGGACGTGTATGCTTCAACAGATGATGTGACGCAAGAACAACCACGTGTCTGCCTCCTGATCAAGTGGCAACATCGCTCTCTCCCTTCTGTCAGCTGTCAAGTCGGCAGTCAAGAGTTTTGTTGGCTTTTTAATTTTTTAAATTATTTTAATTGGTTAAGTCTCTTTCGCAATACGTCTCTTAGCCCTTTTGGACATTGAGCGTACTACACCTAGAGTAATCCTCCATTACGTTTCGTCGTTTGTATCGTAACGTCGCAGTCAGTCAACGCCTTTAATTGCTTCGCCCAAAGAATCGGCGCAGCCCTAAGTAATTGGTGTTCCCAGTCGGACACCCATCCAGGAATCCGCGGTGTATCGAGTTATTATACTTCGGTTAGCGAAGCGCAGTTAAGTAATTAGGCCAACGACGGCGGCGCCGCGTGTTTTGAACATTGCGTCCCTGTAGTTTGGCAGGTACCCGAATCTCATTTTTGTGACTCCCATGCAGGATGAGTTGCTTATGTGAAAGCTTGTGAAACCTATGTGCAACACAATTACATATCTATAACTTCGTTTAAAGATTTCACACACTCACTGGTAAGAAATTATCCTCTTTGACCCTCCTAGAAGCCCTAGAAATCTGTAAACTTTATTCTCAGGCTTCCTGAATACCGTCGTTTAATTGAAAAAACCAAGTAAGTCAAAAATATCGAATACAGCACACCCAAAAAAACTTTATTTTTGTTACTTTCCATTAAGTGTCCATTTTTAAGTGTTTATATAGTCTTTGGTGGGATTCAACTTAAAATAAATGGTATTTAAGAAAACTAAAATTAAATTAAAAAAAAAAATAATTAAAGATTTTCTCGGAGATACATCAACCTACGCAGTTTAGTTTTCTACCTCTAGAGCGCTAAAATGGCACATTGGTTCACCAACTTCTAGCGTGGAATATAGGTGACAAACATTTTAAATTGTTTACACAAACGTCTTAAATTGCAATAACACAATCTTCGAAAAATATTGAATTACGTGGTTTTCACACAAGGGCGACGTTTGTTTTGTATATATGTATAAAAATAAATACCCAGTTTTTCCAGGATCCTCTCCACTATGTCGTTTAGTATGTATTGTGCCCTTCTCCACACCCATCTCACTTCTACTGGCACCGTCTGACTGACCAGAAACACCACCAGGACCATCCGAATGACTAGATGCTTTTCTCATACTTGTCAAACGATAAAAAGGTGGTGTTTCTGTCCGCTCGATTAGGCAGTTAAGGGTTTCAACAGTTTGAAGTTCAGTCATCATTTCATCGAGAAGACGATCCGGCCTTGCTCGAGCTAGGTAGAGGACTACACGTTTCGCCTGAAAAAATAACACAAACTATTAACAATTTATAAGTTACGTTTGCATTCCATCACAAAGGCTACAGTTATGACTTTTAAAGCGTTGACAAATCTATCTTAAATTCGAAGACTATTCCAATTCCACCATATAAATATAGTTACGCGAAAAAATGTGTGCGTGATTGGAGTAAAATATTTAAATCGCACGTATTATCGAAGGCAGTAATAGGATGTAAGCTGAAAAAAATTGCCCACAAGTGGAGTTTAAATGTAAATAGGCCATTAGTAGCACTGCTTTGAAACTATTTTTTGGTTTCAAAATTTCAGAATTATAGATAAAATGTGATTTTTTTTCTCTGATATTTATTCAAACGTACGATTTTAGAAAATAATTAGTCACACAGAACATGGAGGAGTTGGACAAAATAATACGAACGTTTGTCATATACAAAATATTTATTTCTTAATACGGAGTTTAGGGTTAATAGTTTCTTAATACGGAATAGTTTTGCAGAGTGAATAGTTTCCAACAGAATGTTCTCCTATTCTTGTACCAAAACATCTCCCTACTGTTTCAGCGATGTTAGAACGGGAAATCTGCCCTTCACTCTCCACTCCAAATCACTCCATAAAGGTTCACTTATGCTGATGTCTGACGATTGTGCTCGCCAGGGAAGATGTTTGATGATATTCTCATGCTCCGCAAACCACGCCTGAACTTTTTTTCTGTTCCATTGTTGCTGTTGCATTCGCATTTACATCGTGGAATATTGGCAGTGTTTGGCAACAAAATGCTAGTCATTGTAAGCACTTCATTGTTGAGGTTGTGGGGATATCCTTTCGCCATAATCCGGATAGTGAGGGTAATGAGAGGACCACGATTTAGCTGCCCAAATCATAACGGAATGTCCTCCACGCTTGACTGTAGGAAGCAGGCAGGCCGTATCGCACGCTTGCTTTGATTTTTTGCGATCTCCCGAAATAAACCCGGCCATTTGCAGTAAACAATGCAAACGATAATTCATCGGAACATAGCACATTCTTACAGTCAACAAGTGTCCAGGTTTTATGATCGTAACACCATTTCTTTCTCAGGTTTGCGTTGGCTTACTTTATGAACAGTGTTGCAATTGCAGCCCTTCCACGAATGTTAGTTTTGTGACGCTCTCCCGTACTGTTTTTACGGAAACAGGTGACTCGAGTGAATGTTGAGGGGTGCAGTCACTTTTGCCGGGGTAGTTTTAAGTTAATTAATAGTTGTTATTAATTAATAGTTAAGTTAATTAGTTAAATAAATTAAAAATAATGTTTGTAACAATTTCATTTAAATATTTAAATTATAATTTAATTTTTAAAATGAAAATTTTTACATTGATTAATTTAGATAAATTAATTGCAAAATATACTCATGAATTTCTAAACTAATGTTGTATAGATCTGCCAAATTTCAAAGTGGGACACACACAAATAACATTTAAAAAAATAGTTTGTTCTCCGGAGCACATAGGCAGCTCGCTGCCTGCCGGACTCGCTGCTCGCACAAGGTATGGTAGGTCAATGGTAAAGACGCATCGTGACGTCCAAACGTAAAGCAACCGTGAGACATGTTATGAATCACAGAAACACACATACGCTCTCAAATGGAAGTCTTCTGACGAAATGTGATTATTAAATTTATTTATAAACAAATAACACTGCTAGGGTCTGCCTGAATCAGAGCAGCCTTCTTCCTCAATTATACTGAGTCAGTTGTGTAAACAGAGGAATCCGTGTAACATGTGCGTTGTTCTGTGAAGTCAGTAACCACAGATGGCCCTACATTTTCAATACTATTCCTATTTGCATTTTCTTAATATGAAAATCTATAATTTTAGAAGTGTACGTTTAGGTCGTTACAACCAGCATTCTTTAGAAGTTAAAAATTGACTGTTTGCTGTCAAAGAGTATTGGTTTTCAAAATTCCTTCTCCTGACGAGGAAAGTGAAGTTTTTTCAACAAAGTGAGAATCGTCCATACTTGTTAATGACGCAAAAATGTTGGGCAATGATAATGAATAAAAGGGCTCCGCTGGTCCTAACTTATCACCTGATACGAGTAATACAGAAACTGACAGAGTAAGTTTGTCTTCTGCTTTTTCTGCTGTCTCTGCCCATTGTTTGCCGACTTATGTTCTCTTCATGAGACACACAAAATTTGAAGCTAGGAGTTTTCATTGTCCAATGTGATTTTTTATAAAGAAAATTCTTTCGTGCTTCAATATGTAATTTAGAGATTGCTTGAATTAATGTCTTAGCTACTCTGCATCCTTTTGTGCTATACTTCAGAGAAATTGAATAATTTAAAAATAAAAAGATCTTTTTCTGGATGCCTGAAACACGACACGGCTTCAATTCACTCTTTTCGGTGTAAACTCATAACTTCTCAAGTAAGATTACACAATGTGTATGTCAGTGCCCAAACACATTTGTCAGATTGGATCAGTGCCTAGAATTACACAATGAGAGTTTATGTTTTCACAAAGATGTCTTCAATGTGACTGCTGAGTGCCATTTCTTCTTTTCGCAACGTCTTATGGAAAAGGTCAGTGTGTCGTAGTGGGTAATATTCTCAATAAAAGCTAGCCTTCATTCCTGACGGGAACCTATTAATTTACTCAGGAAGTTATTTAAGTGGGCTGATGATCATGTGAAGAACATTACCTTTATATTTTTAACAACTCTGAACAATATTGAAAAAGAGGACTATTGCAACAATGATATAATGAAAAACAATAGAACGTACAAAGGAAAAAAAAACAATAGAAGTAAAAGAAATATCAATTTAATTAACTGTATCGCATACACTGATTCGCATAAATATTCCGTCTGTTTAATACTGAATTGAATTCTTTTGACACTTTTTAATTTCAATTCAATCAGCTCTGAAGGTCATATGAATCGAAGAAAACAAAAACGTTTGATGTCCATGAGCTACAAATTTTGAAGAGCAAGCGAAAAGTTTCTATGTTTCGGACATCGATCATTTTCTCTTAACATTAATAGTTGAATGATACTCTACAGACGTCACAGATTTCACGGACAACGAACTTTTATGCATAGAAACTTGAATTTACATTTAAAGAACAGTTTCTCATGGTAAAATGAAAACCGGCAGAATGTGACATCGAACCTACTTGTTTGCACCAATTCATATGTACACATAGTAAGGCACATAGTAAGATGTGAAGGGTACTTCTAATTAGTACTATGCGAAAGTATACTGATGGTAATCGAATACTGCTTATTGACCTGTGCTTGAGGGGTGACACTATAGCAGACGCTGCAGCAAAAGAGCAAGTAGACATTTCTATTGTTTTTAATTTCTCAGAATTATCTCCGGGTCCCGCTTTGTAACTTACCAGACTTATGTTGAACTTTCCAGAAATTACAATAAGATGCGTATTTACGGTATGGCAGGCAGAGCAAGTGCAATGGGTGCCACTCACAAGGGGCGCTATTTAGAGTATACTCGCTAAAACAAATAGCAACAACCCTAATTCGCGCTGTCTTAACAAGGGTGCAAATTCGACTTTTGCCATGGGCCTCTGAATACCTAAATATGCCTCTGAATACAATGGTATTCGTTTCCGAATTTTTAAACAGTCGAGTTTTGGGAGAAATTAAATAATAATAATAATAATAATAATAATAATAATAATAATAATAATAATAATAATAATAATAAAACTAGTGGTGCTACAGAATGGCACAGACTTTCCCGTTTTAGTTCTCTATTTCCTTTGGTCTCGGCTAGCTATACGAAATTGTCACATCCAGCTAACATCTATCGCCGCCTAAAGTACATTTTTTTTTTAAATTTTCTCAACTTTTCGATTTACTAATAACAGAACGGAAATATTATTTTATGAATAGTAAAGAAGAGTAAAAACTCGTCCTAAATTGCAATTTTCTTGCCCACTGTACATTACAGCCGAGTTACAGAGTTTACGTGTCCGCTTTGGTGTCAACATACAAAAAGATGTGCTGTATTGCATGATATTCGTATTATTTTGTCCAACCCCTGTAAAATCAAACATTAGCCAATTAAAGGCGAAATAGTGTAACTATTGTTTTTCTTTTTTCGAGATATTAGTGTTGTTATAGAAATTTCAACAGTACATTATTATACATGCCTAAATTTTTACGTACTACGTGTTTAGAAAGTAGGGTTAATAAAAATCATGATTTTTTTTATAAAATAAAAAAATCGGATTTTTTCATTTAATTCAGATTATTTAAATATAAATATTCAGATGATATAAAATTTTTAGAATCTGAGAAAAAAGAGCAAAGAATTGAAGAGCTCAGTAGAACAATGATGCTACCTCACATTGATATAGTTCTAAAATATTACGGGCTTTACTAGAACTTTCACGTAACTCTGAAACTAGGGATCAGTAAAATCTTCCTCGAATATCTTTTTAAACATATCAAGACAATTTGCTGCAAATAATGAAAAAAAATAATATCCCATTAATTTTTGGGGGATTTACAACAATTGTTCGTATTTCACCAACTTTGGTTCTGTCCTTTAAATACCCTCTCTTGCAAGAAAAATACTTAAATTAGTCCACATAAATATGCATTTTGGGTATTATAATTATCCGGTTTATAGAAATCACAAATCAAAGCATCTGTGTCATCGTTTGAAAATGACACGAAAGTACACAATTTTCTTTCGCAAGGTTTAATGTCAACACGCACTTTGGCAAGCACAAACTTTGGTTAATTAAATATATATTTTCTCCTCCACTATTCCTCGTCTTCTTTCTAATATTTTTAATTTTTGATCTTGTTTAGTTACAGACTTGGTTTAAGGGCCTAAATTAAGTAACATCACTTCCGATGTGAATGTAAAAGATATGAGATAATATGAAATGCAGTTAACTACACTGTAGTCCCATAATTTTTGTTGTTTAATTTCCATGAAGTGGTCGGATGTCTTCTACATTGTGCTGATAAATATTGCCATATTGATAAATTTGTCCAGTTATACACTTGGTATATGGGACTAATAGTCCAGTCAAATTGTGCTAAAAAATGCACATAGTAGAATGCTTTGGTTTAAGTAGTTTTGATATTTGGTTACAATATGTTTATTAGGTAGCTGAACCCGAATATTACGGCTTGCCGAAAATAATTTTGCATGGAAACGCACTTTCTATGAACAAATGCATTAAACTCACGACTGTGTTGCTTTTCCCCCCTATTTTTACTTCTTCAAAATAAGCATAAATATTATGTAAAATACAACCCTACATGAAATAATGGTACAATTACATACATTTAACGTCTCAAACCTTTTTTCTCCAACAGAAAGCTTAGGCATGAAAGTATCAAACAATTTGGTGCTATAAGCAAACTTCTTCAAACGTCAACAAAAAAATTCTTACAAGAAAATTAATGCATCTGAAAGTGGTATAACACAATTCAATAAACAAGTACTTACATACGGAAGGAGCTCCTGTGGCGCCATGCCAGATATAATTAACAAATAACGGATAATGACTTTCAAGTTATTAGGCCAACATGAGCAGAGTGTGGTCCATACTTCTTCTGTTTCTTTAGGAAGTTCATCTGAGAACTGTAAAAAAATACAGGCATTATGACGGAGAAATTCTGTTTTTTCAAGAAAGAAATACAAAAATAAAAATTGGTATATTTATTTTAGACGTACGGTAAAAATGAGGAAATTAACGAGAATAAGACAGTAAGAGAAGAACGATTAGGTATGCCTTAATATGACTTACAATAACCACAAAGCAGTATGTCTTCCTTCCAAGGCATGACAGTGCAGGTCTTAGTAGACAAATTTATTTTTTGGTTAACTAGTTAATTACTGTAGAGGTTTATGGACGCGAACTCAATATTACAGTAAACTAAATAATATCCTTGTCATTAAAGATATTTATGAATGCGCGGGAATTAAGGATTCATAATGCTTGCGCGGACATTAAGGTCAAATTCTGGAACATCTAAATAGCACTCACACCAAAAATGAGTCTTGGAGGCGGGGAAGGATGGCCATCTACTTATCCTGGACGTCTTGTTGAGTAGGCGAATCGACGACAGCCTGGATCCCATAGTTTACACAAAACCTACCCTACACTAAATGCAATATTCACGCCAAATTGCGCCATCACCCATTGACAAAAAGCGGCTTCTTGAAAACCTTTGCCAATCGCGCAGACAGAACTTGCAACCAGGTCAGCCTCTCCGCTACACGCGTAGAGTCGAAAGCAACCTTTACTGCTAATGGTAACAGCAAGTCAATCGCCAACAGAGCCTTTAAATTCACTTACGATCCTCCCTACATCAAGGGAACCCACGACAACAGCTACACTCCCCCACACAGAGTGTATACCAGACTGAATCGGTAACCTCCTAAGCCATTTCCATGACAAGACGGACTTTACGGCGCACCAGACTCGTTTCCGAAGGGATGTTTCAACTGGTCCGAGTACTGTCCATTTACGGGTAGGGAGAGACGCCCCCTGGCCCAAACAAAAGGGAAGAGGCTGTGCTAATAAAACGCAGTAAAACTGGAGGAGGGGACTGAAAACGGACTGGAAACTGAAAACGGGAGAAACAATGCAGAGTAATGGGAATGACGATCGGAGAGGATAAATTGTTTACGTTATATTTTGCCGATGACCAGGTAGTAATTGCAGAAGATGCAGACGATTTGAGTTTCATGATCCGTAAACTCAATGAACACTTTTTAAAAGCAGGACTTAATATTAATATGGACAAATCTGAATACCTGGCAGTTGGTAAAAATGTAATAGAAGGTCTACTTGTGAAAAATGGATGAAACATGAAAGGGGTAAACAATATAAATACCTTGGTGTACTTTTTAACAATAAGGGAAATAGCCATGACGAAATTGAGAGACGAATAAGCTTGGGGAGAAACGTGACACGAAGTATAAACTCTGTCTTACGGAATAAAACCATCACTAACACTACTACAAGACGTCTTTACTCCTCGCTAGTTAAAAGTGTTACAACATACGGTTCAGAAGTTTGGGAGATCGATAAAAGAACAAAAGGGAAGCTGCTGGCCCTTGAAATGGACTACTGGCGTAGACTTTGCAGTTATAGCAGACGTGACAGAATTAGGAACGACGACATAAGAAAGAAAATGGATGTAAAGAAATCTATCCTCGACGAAATAGAGAAAAAACAAATCGTCTGATACGGTCATGATATGCGAATGACAGACGAAAGATGGCCAAAACGAGTCCTGAAATGGGTGCCGACAGAAAGACAGAAGAGAGGAAGACCCAGACTTGCATGGCAGCAGGGAGTGCAAGAGGCTATGACGGCAAGAGAAATGCCAGATGATCTATGGTCCAATAGAGAGGCATGGAGACTGAGAGCGGAGAAACGGAGACAGCTGTAGAGCAACTCCGTACTATCCTTGACCTATATATAAAACTGGAGGAACAAACTTGGCCAACTGTAAGTGCGTTCGAGATACGCTTTAATACGAGACGCGCAAACACGGACAGGCAAAACAGTCCCGGATGTCGCCCACCCGCTCGGAATCCCGCAGATATAAAAAGTTTCACATTTCACCGGTCACATGAAATAACCAGGCCACAGAGCGGCATTGTTCTGTTCGTCTTTCCGTCTGTCTGTGATCAATGCCAGCGCCTAAACTGTTCAGACAGTTTTCTTGAAAACTGAAATTCCATCGCTGATCAGAAAGAACTCGAAGTCCTGCGAGTTTCAAACGAATATATCGATTTTTTGCGTGGAAATTCAACATTTTCATTTTTTTTTCTTCAAAAAAGGCTTCAAATTTTTTATGAAACATTCTCCGCTGAACTCTTAAAAGAATGGCGCAGATCGCATTTTCTTTGAAGTTCCTTATTTTTCGAGAATTGCCAAAGTTCGACATTTTTTAGACCTACTACAACTATAATATTAAAGTTTAAAATTAAAATAATAAAATCTTGTTGAAAAACAGATCTTGAAATATGATCAAATAGAATTTTCCGAAAATGTGAGTAACTTCCAAGTAATTTTGCTTGAAACATAAACACTTTTTAAACAATTATATTCTCAAAACGACTGAAATAGAGCAAAGAACGCTTAACAATGGTGCAAGTCTCATTTTCGCTAAATTTTCTGAATTTTAATTAAAAAAAATTTTTTTTGCGTCTTCGTCAACACGTTTTGGTGTCCCCAACCTTTGTTGGGAGTTGAACGTCTGGCATAAACTAAACCCCCGCTACTATTTTTGTGAAGACTCGTCACATCGCAGTTAGTTACTGTCTTTTATCCCATTGGCCAGGGGTCAGAGCCAGATTCCAGGGTTCCTAGACGTCACCTTACCAGGAACTTACAAAATCTCGAATTCGCTTTACCTCCGTGACTTCACAGAGAGTAGTTAAGGAATTCGGCTAGCAACGCCGGTAATTACTGATGTTTAAAACATTGCGAAAATATATGAGCTATTTTAGCACAACTAGTTTTACCAAAGTTACGTTTCACTGCTTAGAGCAGTGGCAATCGTAGTAGCGCCTGAGTATGCAAAAACTTTCTGAAGAGATTTCACATTTGAATCTTCATTATGGCAGTATATGTAAAAATTAAAGTGAACCAAATCTGGTCGGGCTGAGCTTGAGACGGCAATTCAGATGGCCGAAAATATAATTTTGACACAGAAATGTCCTTACACCCTTTATGACATCCCGAACCGTTTCTGAGTTAGGGTGCACCGTTTGAACATGTGAAGTAAAAAGTTGATCTGGGAGTATCAAGTTTAAAGCAAATTTTAGAAACTTACTCCGCGATTCCATCTCACATTTTGATGCAATTTTGTATGCTGAGTCCCACTTATCTCACAAGAGCTTCTTTGGAATTGTAGCTTTGTAGGTGAAATGCAGGCGGTGGGTGAATTAAATTTAAGGGTGTTGCAAAAGCAATGTTCGAAAGGAGGAGGTGTGTGTGTGTGTGTGATTCACTCTCCCTCTCCTTTCTCCTCTCACTCTCTCTCCCTCTCCTTTCTCCCCCCTCTCTCTCTCTCTCTCTCTCTCTCCAATATTTCCCGATTGAGTAATGAGCACAATTGTTAAAATTGTTTAAAGCTAAATGTACCGCCACTAGTTAAATTTGTCGCCACCACGTGGCAGCACAAAAATTAGCAAGATTTACTTTACCAAATTCTAAACCAATGGTCTGATTTCCGATCTGCAAACGGAATTTGACTTTGTTTTAAAATAAAATTTATATTACGAAGCCCTTTTACAAAAAAAAATGTAAAAAAGTTTTCAAATTGCTCTCATAGATCTGGGATGAAATTAAAAAATGTACGCTTATAGCGCGATGACGACGGGCCCCCAGAATTGAAAGCCGTTTCAACCATACAAATCGGATATACAGGAGCGTCGTAAAGTGAAATTTGGAATTACACCTCTCCCCACGTCCCCTTCCACACCGGTGCGTCACCCGCCCGTTGAGAGTCCTCAACGCGGGCGGCGGCCTACGGCGCGGCAGAAGGCCGAACTTTCGGGCAGGCAAGCCAGGCAGGCAGTTTATGCTTTCATATCATGGTTTCACTTCGCATCTCAATATATTCTTCCCCTAGCATATTAAATTAGTGATGCTGTGGCAGACGCAAACGGTCTAGTATCATCTGTAATATTAGTATAAAGCTATCTTGTTCACATATTTCCGTCTTAGAATATCATCATAAAATTGTTTGAAGCCTTATTCAAAATATCGAATCCGATTTGAAATCTGATTTCAAAATTAAAATTGAACCAATTGGGTAAATATCACCGAGATTCCATCTCCTCACATCTTATTTTTAGATATGGACCTATTTGACTTCTGAGACCTTCCGTTATCATTCCACTACCGGAAAGAATGGGCAGATATTACGCACGAGCTTTTATTGTACGACTCGATTTTTGATCTCAAAACGGTGTTCGTCTCCTTGATACAATTCACTTTGTGGTTCTCGTTTCCCAAATAAAATAGCCGAAGCTAATTTTAACTAGTGGAGCTACAGAATGGCACAGACTTTCCCATGTTAGTTTTTTATTTCCCGTCGTCTCGTCTAGCAATTTTTGAAAATTTCTCATTTTTTCGGTTTCTTTATAGTATAACTGAAATATTATTTTAAGAATATTAAAGAACCTTCATTAGGAGTAATTTAATGCACTTCACCTCACAAATACAATAGTTTTACAAATTGCTGGCAATCTGCATATTAATGATGTGAGAGAGCTTTCAAAAACATTACATTTTTGTTTTTTGAAGAAAAACAAACAAAAATGAAGTTTATGTCATATTAAAGAGTGCAACTAGCATTATCTGTTCGAAAAGTTTAAAGAACAAATTTCGAGCCGTTTTTAGAAAATGGAGTTTGAGCGTTTCTGAAAATTCAGAAATTCGAGCTAGTTTTCACAGAAAACGGTTGTGTTCGGGAAACTATATACGATATTATTTAAAGCACATGTACTCGTAAATATACTAATGTGAACAAATCGCCGCCAATGTGTAAACGATTATCGAGATAAAAAATCGAGTCGTACGATAAAAGCTCGTGCGTAATCTCCGCTCCTTCTTT